TATCTTGTTAATAGCTTATCATATTAGGATTAGCTTAGCTTATCTTATCTTGTTAGTAGCTTATCAGATTAGGATTAKCTTATCTTATCCTTAGCAAGATAGAACTGGAAGTCTCCCTATTCAGCAAGGAGACTCCCTTTGATTAGAACTCTTGTAATCTCCTATTTAAGGAGACCCCATTATTGAATGAGATCAAATTATTCAGTCAAGAGTGAGTTAGGAGAGTTGGTGATCTCTTGAACAAATCACCGAAGGCGCCAAGATACGTTCATCACGAGCAGGAAGGAACAAGGGAAAACAGGAGGTTTTCCCCGTGGACCGACCCGTGACGAGATCCTATTCTCGGGCCCTCAACAGAGGACCATCACCACTTGATGATATCTTGTGCTTTTGCTGCTAATATTTGGAATTAGGTTTTCATGATGTTTGGGTGCAGGTGGAACTTGCCCTCCGAAGTAAATTTGCTTTTTGATCCAACTACCTTCCGGTGGTCAACAAAGAGAGGGAAACTTATGTGGAAGTGCATAAGGGCAGCTATTTTGTGGACCATTTGGGAGGAGAGGAATGCTAGAATTTTCCAAGAAAAAGAAAGAAGTTTAATCGAAGTAAAGAAGTGTATCTTGACGAACAATTTTTTGGTTGAAAACTTCAAATCTTTTTATGAATTATTCCTTTGATGATCTTTGGAAAAGCTGGGCAAAGGTCACCTCCACAACCTCTAAAAAGAATAGTGTAAAAGCTGAATGAAAACCTCCTCCAGAAGGAATGGTTAAACTGAACTTTGACGGGAGTAGTCAAGGTAATCCAGGGCCTTCAGGCATAGGAGGGGTTTTGAGAGATAATGATAGCAACATCTTATCCCTATACTTTGGATCAATGGGCGTTGGTGACTCTACAAGGGATGAGATATTGGCTGCAGTACAAGGAATACAGGTTGCAAACCAACTTGGAGTGGAACACATGATATTTGAGGGGGACTCTAAGGTGGTAGTAGGTTGGCTGTCAGATCCAGAAACGGTTTTCTGGAGTTATAGGGATCTTCTCAAGAAAGCTAAGTGGCTGACAAGAAACATGACTGTAAACTTTCAGTTGGTTAGCAGATCAGCAAATGCTATGGCTGATTCCTTGGCTAAACAAGGGGCTTCGAGGGGTGATTTGTTCTGGGCTACTTTATAAGTGTATTTCTGTTAACAGTGTGTTTATATTCTTTCCTAAGGGGAGGTAACATCTCGTGCCTCCTCCTAGGATATCAGTACACCTTTTTTATCTAATTAATAAAATTATCTTTCATTTATCAAAAAAAAAACTTTATCATTTTCAAAAATTATTTTAATATTTTTTATGTGGACAAGAATGATTCATATTTGATGTGAACAGCCTCTAAATAGATCTTTGACAAATGAAGAACTTGATTAGGAGGGAGTGGGGCACTGGAGCTGAATGATGACATTTGCATACCATGTAATGATGTCAATGTGTCGGCAAACCATTTGTATATCCATTAAAATTTTTGTTAAATGAACACATCTTGTGAATCAAGAGGTGTAAGGCTGTAACTTCCCATTCAACATGTCCTTGGTGTACATGGGACTTTTGTAATGCTTTTGTCTCTTTTTAATTATATGTAATCTTCTTACAGAAAAAAAAAATCATTTCAATGTTTTCTTCATTGGTGTGGACAAGTAAAATGGAAAGTTTATTGCTATGTTGTTAGTTAACAAAAAGGGCAGCCCAGTGCAGGAGGCTCCTGCCAATGCTATTTGTTAACAATTATCTATAAAAATTGTTTTTTTTTTCTGATGAATAACAATTATCTATAAAATTTGTTATATAATTGATCATTCCATTTTTTTGTAATTTTGTAATTTTGTTTAACAATTCCTCCAACATTTCAGATTGAACCTTACAATTTCAATTCGAATCCCACCTTATAGGATTTTTCAATTTAATTTTGCCTTGACAAAATTGTAATACAAAGCTTAAATTGTAAGGAATAGATCAAGATTTAAAATGTTGATGTCGGTGAAAATGTCACTCGTCCAAATATAAGAAACATGTCAGAAATATCGTATGGAAATATTGTAAAAATTATTGATATGGTGGAAACATTGTAAAATATGCAAAAATATAGAATGGTATTTTATGAAAATGATAAAAGAAGCATAGGCACACATTTTTAAATTATTATCTAGTTCCAAATCATTTAACAAAGCTAAGAAACAAAGGTTATAGACAAAAGAATATGTTCTGAAGTTGTCCTGTAAACCTTAAAGATTCAAAACTTCATGACAAAATGAGTTAGGGCAAAATTTAAACCCATAGAAAATGTAAATGGTTGTAATATATCAACGAAATAATCTATTACACAAAAAATCTAACATTTAACTTAATGTTTGAAATGAATATTGAGCTAGCTCAAAGTGGTAATCATGTAAGTTAGGCAACCAATAATATTATTACTCCAATCTACAATATTGTCACCAACTTATGTTATAATACTATCTCTTCTAGTCTGTATAGTGTAGGTAGTGTTGTTCATTGGGGAATATATCGATTCTAGTAAAATTTCATGTCGCTCCATGGAAGTAGAAATGGAAATATGTCATGGAAACTATCTCTTGTATTCCACATAGTGCTGGTTGTGTTCATTGGGGAATATGTCAATTCCAGTAAAATTTTGTCACTACTCATGGAAATGGAAATATGCCATTGAAATGTTATGGAATTTAGGGACATTTTAAATCATGGAAATAGAGATAAAGATTATCAGAACATGGAACATAAAATAGACAATGATTGCTACCTTCGACACAAGCAATGCAGCAAGCTGCCTCTGGTCAAACTCCTCATCTTCGTACAAACTTTCACTACACAAGAAAACAGACAAATAATTGAATTCCACATTTCCTACATAATAAATAAATATAATTATGAAACTTTAAAACTCCATGACACACTAGTACTCTAGCATTTAAAAAAATGAAAGGAAACATGGACAGGAATCATTGGCTTCATTTTATATAAATTAAATAACATCCTAAACAAATATTCATTATTTGAGATGGAGCTGGCAAAATTCTCTTATTCAAACTGAGACATAAATCCAGAAGCAATCTTGAAAATTCGCACATGCACAACAAATATTCATTACCATACAATGTTTGCAACCAATGCAAGATCACTGATTTTCCTGTGTCAGGATTTCTGCAAATAGTAAGTGTAGAAATAAGTAATATTTGCAATACAAATGATGTTCGGTGCAAAACGTTTTACCTTTGGAGGAACCTCAAAACTATATTAAATTATGATTAAAAAGAGCTTCTGATGCAGATGCAGAAACAAGGAAAGAATTCAAAGGGAAACAACCCAACTTTCCAATTCCAATGCCAATTTCGGAATTTTTGGGTCATATGATATTGGTACTGTTTCAGTTTTTTTATTTATTCTCTAATTGGTGTTGTCTTAAGAACATGGTTCTGTTTTTTAGATTTTTATTAGTATTTTGAAATTACTATTTATGGTAAATAATAATTTTGATAATTACCATTTTTAGCAATTTCCAGAGTCCTTAAAGTAAGTCAGTCTTAGTGAGATCAGTAATGAGTTATTAGAGTTCTTTTAGTAATTAGAGTTCTCATTGTAGTGTCCTTATGGATCAGTTATGGATTTGTCTTAGTTTTAAAACAATTGGAAGTTGATTTAGGTCAGTTTCCTAGTCCAAATTGGAATCCGTAAAGGGACATCCGAGTTAACAAATTAAGTCTATAGTCATTGTAATTGTTGGAGTTCAAGAAGAATTGATTTGCTGAAATAAAGTTTGGTTTAGTGAATTCTGGTTGTTGCCAAGAAGTTTCTCTTTTTCCTCCCTCTCTTATTCCTTCTTCTAAGTGATTCACCTCTTTGTTGTTTACCCCAACAACAAGAGCTCCTCTCTCTTCTGATTTCTTGCTCATTCCTTGGTAGACACAGTGTTTTAAAAGTGCAAGGTGCAAAAAAGGCATAAGGGGCAATTTGCCCCCGAGGCACAAGGCGCAAGGTGAGGCGCACGCCTTTTTGAAGTAAGGTGCAAAAATACAAAAACACCAAAAAATCAAAAATGTCAGAAAAATCAAAAAATATTAAACATAATATTTATAAAAAATATAAACTTAAATTTTAAAATAAATGTTTTAAAAAACTTATTATCTAAAATTAATACACATAAACATAACACGTAAAGCACATTCAAATGAAATTTAAAAATAAAATCAAACATACAAAACCATTTCAAGCATGTAAAACCCACAATCTCTTTTTTTCCCTCAATTGCATTACTTCAAATAGCTACTAATGTGATGGAGGTAGGAACCTGCTGATTTCGGTCGAAAAGTTGGGTCATAGATGATGGAAAAGTTGTGGAAAGCTGAACTGAGGGTTGAGACAAAGAGAATCATGTTCGATCTTGGAAGGGCTGGAGGTAGGAACCTGCTGAAAATCAAAGAAAGGAGGGCGACAATCCTCCTGCCTGACCAAGTTGTTTTGTGGTTGAAAGGTTTTATCGATGGAGTAACCTACCCTTTCAGGACAGTAGGTTGGAGAAATTCCCTAGAAGTGCAAAGGAAGAGATTTGAAGCTGAGCTGAGAAAGAATGTAGAGGATGATTCATTGCTATCACAGAATACTTTGACAACAGGAGACAAATGGTATGTCTTCCGGAAGGGAAGGAGGTACAGGGATGGCTGGTCTTTGCAGATAAGTTACAACAATACCTGTTACAGGTTGACAGCATTTCTAACAAGGCACAGGACGCAAACACAAAGGAGCCTATTGAGCAAAACAATCCAAACATGACACAAATGATGAGAAGCAGGAAGCTACAAAACAAAGCTCCTCCCTTTGTGGAGAAGCTACTGTTAGTTCGACGGGTGTAAAGAGGTTATTGCTTGAGGCTGAGAAAAGTATCTGGGAGAGGAGAATGGTGATAGTAGCCAACAAAGAAGTGAAGGACTGGAGAAAGTTGCTGGACACAGTGGTGTGTAACTTAGGAACGAAATCTGCTGCATAGTTGTCAAGGCAACGCCTAGGCGAGTAGGCGGTTTTTCATGGTCACCTCACCCAAACGCCATACGTTTTGCATGTTAGGCGCCCCGCCCAAAGACTTAAGCGGGCGCCTACATTCATCTAAAAAACCATTTTTTTTTAATTTATTGGATGTTTTATTCTTTTAAAATAAATTTGGTTACATGATATCATTTTAGTATTAAGACCAAGTATACAGCCTGTTTTTTCTTTACATCATAAGGGTTTTTTTTTTTTTGTTCGATTGGACAGGAGGAGAACCGAAGGCTTCAAGCCCAGCCCAACTCCATCACACCTTAGCTCCAGCAGGTAAGTTCCTCTTCTTCTTCTTCTTCTTCTTCTTCTTCTTCTTCTTCTTCTTCTTTTCCAGATTTCAGACACTTTTTCCTTTTTTTTTCGAAAAAACAGGGGCTCCACCAGTCCTCCCTTTCTTCTTCTCTTTTCCAGATTTCAGTCGAACCAGTCCTGAGTTCTCTCTTCTCAGCTCAGACATTTTTTCATTTTTTCTGAAAAAACAGGGGCTCCACCCCTATACTCCTTGGTCCTCCCTTTCTCCACTCATCATCATCATCATCATCATCTTTTTTTTTTTTGAAAAAACAGGGGCTCCGCCCTATACTCCTCTCCTCCCTTCACTGATTCAGTCATTGTTCTCACTTCTCACTTCAGTTTTTAACAGCCAAACCTATCATTAATATATATGGATATGATTATATGGCTGAAATCTATAGATATTATATTTATAGATTCCATCGCCTAGGCGCCTGGGCGCCCCATGGTCGCCTAGCCTCACCTAGTCGCCTTGACAACTATGATCTGCTGTAGCATTAAAGCCATTCTCAGACAGGAAGGCAGTCCTTGATGTAGGCAATGGAGTGTGGGGTTTCACAACATCCGATTCTGAAGAGGGCTTGATCCAGCTTCAAAACTGGAACCTGCTATGTAATGAAATGGAACACACCTCTGGAAGCTTCATGCTCAAGTTGATTGGACTTCCTTTTCATCTCTGGAACGAGTCGAACCTGGAGAATATAGTGAGGCTGTTGGGAGGAGCTCTGGAGGAGATTAATCTTCAAGATTTACACACGGCCGAGGTTAAGATTGCAGGGGTGAAACCAGAACTTCTGCCCAGATCAGTTGAAGTGTTATCCGATGGGTTCTGGTATCGTGTCTGGCTGATTTCGGAAGTGGAAGTGACTCCATGGGGATGAAAATCCCAAGTTGAAGATGCTGACGTGGGAGGCTGGTATACATGTGGCACACACTCGGTGGTGAGAAGAAGTGGAGACCAGAGTAAGTCTAATTGGGAAGCTGGAAAGTCGGCGAAGGAAAACCAAAAGATAAGCAATCTAATATTAAGGCAAGGAATCCAAAAGACTTTGAATTAAAAGGAGAGAAAGAGCTGGAAAAGGCAATGAAAGGAAGATTACAAATGGACGGTGGGGATGAGAGAAGAATTGAAAAAAAAAAAAGAAATGGGTGAAAGTCAATGGGTCAGGGGATAAAATAGGAATTACATCAAAAGAAAAGGAGAAGAAGCTAGAAAGAGAGGAACCGGCACCAGCTGGTAATGGAGGATTTAAGTTAAAGAAGTTTAACAGTCTAAATAGGTTGGCGGTTAATCTTAAAGTAAAGGCGGGATTTAAAAAGGAGGGACTATAGAGGGGCATTTCTGGAAGAAGACACATTCGACTGAATGAGAAGAAGATCGATCATCTGAGAATAGATCGACTGCTCACAGAAGGGGAAGAAGAGGAGAAATGGATCTGGGTAGTGACAATATACGATAATGGAAGAGAGAAAAGAGGACAGGGAGGTGAAGAAGACAAGAGAGGGCTGACAAGAACGGGGGAGGAGCCCAATCCCAGAAGACAGAGACAGCGGAAAAAACCCACAGTGCGGGGAGAAAAGATGGAGAAGTGGGAGAGAAGAAAGTAGATGATGGATGTCTTGTTCAGGCGAGCTGCAGGTAGTGTGAACCGCATAAAGAAAAGGGATTTAATAGGGAGGAAAATTTTAATGACGGACAAGGAGAAGTGACGGGGTTGCAGGGGAGTTCCTTGGAACAAGGAGAGGAGCATATCCCTTCTCAAAAGTTTGTTCCGGAGGAAGAAGAAGCAGAGGAAGGGGGGTGCTAAGTAAGCAAAGAAGCAGAGGAAAGGGGGAAGGTAAGAAGAAAAAATCGTGAATCCATCTATACTGATTCAACTCCAAGATCAGAGGAGGTGAGTCAATACTTCGTTCCGGACACTCCTCTACTAGAAGGGTTAAATAAGGAGATTAGTGAGGGTGAAGAGAGTTTAAAAGGAGGAGAAAGGGAGAGAAAAAAAGAAAAATAGAAGATAGAGAGAAGGGAAAGAAGGAGGAGAATCGCAAAACACGGTTAATAATAGGAAAAGGAGACAATCAGGTATACTATAGTCAGGAAGAGGGGAAAGGAAAAGAAAGGAATGAAGTTAACAAAACAAAGGAGGGGGAAGAGGAGGAGGTAACTATGCACTCCCCTCAAATTGGTCAAATTGATTCAGAGGTAATACAAGATGGGGAGGTAAATATAGAAAAATTGGTATAGAGGGAGGTTCAGATTGGGAAATCACTTGGATTAGTCTTCTGGGGAGGGGAAGGTTTTGCCCAAAACCGCGTTCAAGAAATTTTAGCAGAAGAAGAAAGAAGAGAAAGAGAGAAAAAGAGAAATCCTAGAGAAGAACAAGGGGGGGGAATGAGGAAGAGGAAGAAGAGGAAAATTTGGATGAAAACGAGTAAAGAGGAATAGGATAGTGGGGGAGGGGGGAGGGGAAGAGAGATGAAT